GCATTATAATACAAAAGCTATGAGTGCTAAGGAGGGGAAGGGAGCTTCAATAGGAACATTCAGCTGTACAGTGCCTTCTATCTATCAGACCATCTCCAATGGGGATCCCTTGGCAGAAACACACAGGAGTGGGAAAGTCTCATAGCTGTAAATTATTAGTTCCTGTCATATAGCCTGAAAGAAATACTCATGGGGGTTAGAGCAACTCTGATAAAAATGCTAATGCATTGTTGCTTTCTATTCAGTGAAAGTCAGCAGAGGGTGGATAGGAGAGTTTTAAAAAATGAAACACAGGAAAAACCAAAGTATTAAAGCATATGGCAGGTTACCAGAAAACATGATTTTTTGTTTAGGCCAGAAAATGAGGAATGGTTTGCGATTTAATCCCCGGAAATATTTTAAGATAAGGATTGGCAAACATTTCTACAATAAGCTTTAACAAAGCAGAACTCTTCACAGATTGCAAAGGTAAGCACTTCAAAAGAAAAAAAACTACCAAATTTTCAAAGTCAACAATGCATGAAGATGCAGCACTGAAAGTTCTGCCTGTCTTTGCAGTGTCAATTTGTGTTTACATCTGAATACGGATGTGCTTAGTATCTACTAGTCAATGAAAGCTATCCAGTCATTAAACTAAGTGTTGGCCAGAATTCTCTATCAATTATTTAGTGATGCAACAATTGTAGTTATGGAGCTATGTGGTATCTACTGGTCTGACCCTCCCAGTGCCCACTTACTGGACAGCAGCCACTGTGATCAGTAGGGATCTCTTCCTCTGTCATTCTGGAAGCAGTAGACTGATGTTCCTACTCCCTCCCTTAAATGATCTCCCTTGTGACAGGCAGAAACAAAAGTCTCTGTTGCAATACCCCCTCACATCAAAGATCACTTGCTGGAGTGGGGACATAAATCAACTACTTCCCAGTCCATAGGGGAACATATCCCCAGGGCCCTGTTGCTCTGTTGGGTGGCTGCATGGATTAAAGAGTAGGGTTCTGGGGACACTTACAGCTGGCGCAAAAGTGCAATGACTGTTAAAGTGTAACTGCTATATCATAACATTGTAATTACTGAAATTACTGAAAGAATGTCATGCTTTATTTATAGCCACCCCTTTTCCAAAGGACTGAGAGTCAAAACACTTTAACAATTAAAATGATGAAAATATATTTTAAAACATACAAAAAGTTAACATTATAATTGAATACAATGAATGCAGATATTCATACATATTCCACTCTATCTAGGAATAGATGAAAATGTTGCTTGTTTCATTTTCTGATATAAACTCTCCAAATTTATAAAATTGATGAAAAGAACATGAGATAGAAACATTTCAATGTATGAAAACAAGAAATGGATGGATGCATCCAATCCAACCCTGCACTTTGAGTAGCTTGTTTGTTTGTTTGATTGGCTTATATTCCACCTGTTTCCCATGGGGCCCAAGGTGGGAAAACCATTTGTATTCAGTCCTTTTTATAGTGCTGAATTATTTTTGCCACCTCTGATCTTTGATAGCCTCTTCATCTTTAATAGCTACATGTCAGGCAGATAAAACTTGGTTCTCTCTATGCTGGGAAGTGTGTGCTGGTATGTATAATAAATTTGATCAGTAAAAATTGTTTATCAAAATTTGCAAATGTCTTCATTAACTCGATGACAGAGGATTGATTTGTTTTTATGAATGTAGAATAAAGCAAAATCAACAAACTGCTACTATTTAATTTCTACATTTAATAATTAAAAAAAGATCAGTCCTAGATATGTCTACTCAGAAGCATGTCCTATGCTAGGGAATCATGGGAACTATAGTTTATTGTGGCAACAGAGCTCTCTGACAGAAAAGGCTCAATGTCTCAGAAAAAAATGCAGTTCCCATGATTCACTAGCACTGAGACAGGGCAGTTAAAGTGGACTCAATTTGCACTATTTCTAGCAGTCTGCAAAGACTGTCACGCAGACGGGCAGCACGGGGCCACCCCGGGAAGCTGATAGGGGGTGAGGTTTCCGCACTCCTCAGCCCCAATGCACCGAATCCCAGTCCCAGGAAGGAGCGCTAAAATAGCGCTCTTTCTGCAAGACGGTGAAGGTGCGCTGCAAAAGGCCTCTGGCGCACCTTCACCGCCTCTTCCGCTGCAGCGTGTGTGGATGCTGCAGCGGAAGTGCGTCGTCGGAGTGCCGGCCATGTGGAGAGCTGGCTGCTCCAATAACGTTTTCGGAAAGGGGGTGGGGTGCCCAGCGCGAGGCTGCCCCTCCCCTTCTTGGCCTTGAAAATGGCGCTTTGCGCCATCTGCTTAGACCCTGTTACTCCTTAGGCTGGAAAGACTAATCAAGAAAGGCCTGCTGGAAGAGATCCATCTTCACAGCTTTTTAAAAGCTGTTAAGATTGGTAATATGATGGATCTCATCTGGCAGGCTGTTCGCTCTGAGAATGGTTTCTGAAAAAGTCCTCTGCGAGGTTGCAGACAGCCTAGTTTTAATAGGCTGGAGCAAATTCCTCCCAGAGGACTTGAGTGCACAGGACAGATCATAGAATCATAGAATCATAGAATCATAGAGTTGGAAGAGATCACAAGGGCCATCCAGTCCAACCCCCTGCCATGCAGGAACTCCCAATCAAAGCATCCCCGACAGATGGCCATCCAGCCTCTGTTTAAAGACCTCCAAGGAAGGATCATATGGAAGGTGGCAGCCCCAAAGCCATGTAGGACTTTAAAGGTGATAACCAACACCTTGTACTGAACCCGGAAACTAATCAGCAGCCAGCGTAGTGATTTTTGGACTTGTGTTATATGGTCTTTCCTGGAGACCAACCTGGCTGCCATTTTCTGTACTAGTTGGAGTTTCTGGATTAAGCATGAGGATAACCCCATGTAGAGCGCATTACAGAAATCAAGATGAGAGGTTACCAGCTCATGTATCAAAATTTCAAAGTCCCTTACTTCCAGGAAAGGGCCCAGCTGGCATATCAGCCGAAGCTGAT